GGGATATATTTAGACAAATTAGGGTTTGAGCAGTTGAACTAATTCCAAGTCTAAAGCATTTGAAAGGGTTTGAATTATTGAGATGTGGAATGAAGGGGTGAATGTGAAGATCGTCAAGAAGAAAAAAGAAAATTTTTTTTTTTTTTTGCAGACATCCCCCTGGCCCTTTCCATACACATGACTTCACCACATTCTGATCATCAACTTAGAAAGCCAAAATTTAATGTTTTTAGAGAATTGAAAAGAGATATCTTTGTAGGCACATGAGAATAGTAACAGAATGTGGATGCCAAAATACCAATGCAAGTGGGAGAGATAAGAACATCAGAGATATAACAACAGTATAATGCATGGGGCTGACTGATATATGATGATGTTGATGGGTGTTTTTTTTTCTTCTACATGCAAAGGACCCTTAACTGTCAATACAAGGATAGCTCTTTGAACTCCTTAAAGGCTTGGTGGGTATGATCATTGTTGTCTGAAACTGAGGATTTTGGACCACATATGTGGGCACCTTTTCAGATGTTGAAATTTACATTGTGGGAGCTGGGGCTCCCTTTATATTATGTGATTTCTTTTTTACCCAAAAATTTTTCCTTTTTTTTTTGCTATTAATTATGTCATATGTATGTAAAACTAAATATTTTTCTTCTTTTCTTAAAATTCACTTGAGTATTAAAATAAATTATGTATCTGTTAAATTTGAAATAGCTTTGGATAATGCGTGTTTGATCTATTGCTATATATATATATATATATATAAATATATATATATATATATATGTGGTTTTAGATTTCATATATGTCTTAAAATTTAACAATCCTTTAATTAGATTCAATTTTCGTAATCAAAACATTTGATCATTACCACGATCTATTTATTATTTCTTCAAAATAGCATGAAATTTTAACTAATGACAAAGAGAGAGAGGAATTTTTCTTACCCAAAAAGGAGTTATTATGAACATGAAATATCCATCATTAATAATTTGAATTTAAGAATTGATATAGCAACCAAAGCTTTCACTATCAGGAGTTTAATTTTTGAAGAGTTGGGAAATTATGAAATTGGCTTCAAATGATATGAAAAGAAATGGGAAAGAGTTTCACGTGTCTGTTAAACAACAATTGCCCAAAAAAATTCCAATTGAATTTTCTTGAGAAAAAAAATAGGAAAGCCCCCATGTTATCACTTTCCCTGGATTTTACATGGATTTTGCAATCATGATTATGAATTGGTGTCCTTTCTGTCCTCAACGAACGAAAGAAATAGAGATAAATATAAATAAATATGTGGTTTTAAAATTTTAAGCATATATCATGATTGATCTCTGCTGCATGATTAAAATGTAGAAGAAGACATTTTCAATAAGAACTCAACAGCTTGCAACGTGATATCTTATTCAATTTGACTTTTATTTATTTATTTATATTATTATATTGTTATTGACTTGGCGTCCATGTAAAGATGGAGAAAGTGTTCATACCTGGAGTTAGTTAAAGTTCATGATGTAAAATCAAGCAGTGATTGATGGGATTGTGATATAACATGAAAAAGTAAATTCCCTACAAAAAACGGTGTCACGTATTTTTAAAATTTTCAGTTAATTATTATATATATATATATATATTTTCCTTTACTGCAGTGGAAAAGTAAAGTAAAAATAATTTGCATGAAAAAGAATTCTATGGTTCAAATTCAAAATTTTACCTAAAACTCTACTTTCAAAGTGGTAGAAGATTGAATTAATGGTTAAAAATAAAAAGCATTTGGCTCGATTGTTAGTTTACATATTTTTATTCAAAAAAGCAAGATTCAAATATTTTTTTCTCAAATAAATAAAAACAAAAAGTAATAGCCTGACAAGCTAGATTAAAATTTTTATTGAAAAATAAATTGAAAGAGTCAACAAATTTTGATACTAAGGGATTTTATTAGACAAATGCGTATTGTTGTCGTCATGACACATGAGCGAAAGAGAAACGGAAAGGCTGATATATTTGGTACTCATTTACTCACTTAGTAAATAAAATTAACTTCTACACTTATTCAATTAATAAATACTCAATTGTCATGTCATCACTATATTTAAATTTTTTTGTTACATATAAATTCGCATTTATTTTTCACCTAGAGATAGATTCGTTCAATTATTATCACTAATGTATAGTCAGAATATCACAGATCAATTGATTTTTAATTTATTTGTACATTAAATGCAATATAACTAATTTAAATATTAATTATATATCATCTATTGATTTTATAAATTTCACATAAATTCATCAAAAAAATAATTAAATCATTATCATTTCCTATTATATTATATATAAAATAAAAAAGAAATTCATATACAATAATTCTAAACCATTCGCCTTTAAACTTTTTATGTACTTTTTATAACTATCTTTTTTCTCCAAAAATCTTAAATATTTGATTAACTTAAGTATCAGAACATGTTTTTGAAGAACAAACTCCAACGTCCTTTGACTGTGTGTTCTAATTGCAAGTAGAAATCATCTCCACATAATCCCTAAATCACTGTCCAGCTCATTCATACCCAAAAACACTGTCAACAATTATGCTTATTTGAGTGGGACATTAAAGCACTAGGGCACCGCAAACCGTAATATCTGAATTTGGTAGTTGTAAGTTAACGGGGATCACAAGAATAGTGTTCCCTCCCATTTACTTAATTTGCTGAATATTTGGTCCACATCTTAATTTGATTCATCATGTTTACATCAGATACCCCCTTTGTTTTCAGTCATATTCTCCTTTTCTTTTTACCTGTAGCTTAACATTCTGGATTTTCTTATTATTAATGTAGCATATGTAAATTTAATTATTGTAACATTAAATTAGTTTTCTAATGTAATTCGATTTTTTTTTAAAGGGAGAGTTTTGTTTTTTTATAACGTATAAGAGAAAACTAAAATGCCCTCGACAAGTTTCTTTCTTTTTCTTGGATTACTAAATATTATATTGTTGAGTGGGCATCTTTCTTTGTTAAGTACACCACAAACAAATAGTTTTCCTAATATTAATTTTTTTTTTTAAACAAAAGTGGATGCAATTTTGAAAACTTCGAAATAGTAGTGTGATTTGTTTATAGAGTATTAAACTCTTAGCTGCAGTGATTAAAATTTAAATTTTAATAATTTTAATAATAAAAAATTTTAATTTTAAATCTATTTGATTTTAATTTTTAAAAATGATTATATAAATCAATTGAATAATATTAATTTATATTCAAGTATTGTTTTTGTATTAGATAGTTATTTAAACAAATTTTAGAGAATGAAAAAGGGCTTCTTTCTCCAAGTTTATCACTTTTTTTTTTCTTTTCTTTGGCAGTGTAACATGGGGTGATGAATTAACAATTTTTTATGTTTTGCAGTTGTTGTTCCTTTGTACTTGTAATAAGAGCAAAACCCCACGACATATATACGAGAGTTAAAATTAAGATTCAAGTCCAACCACTTGGACTTGGAGGGGTGGGGGCATATATATAGAGCTTGTGCCCTAATAACCAATGCTCTTTGGGGCAACCTTAAGTGGTCCTAAAACAAGAACACTCTCTCTCACTTCCTAATGTCTTGTAAAAAAAAAAAAAAACCCAAAAGTACTCTCTTCCTATGTCTGGTTTTTATCCTTTTATCTTCTTTTGCACCACTTCCTTCACACTCTACTTTTTTCTTCCAATGCGAAACAAACGTAGGACCCTTGACGGAAACTACTTGATGGAAAGCATACCGGCAACCATGACAGACACCATATAAATTAAACTTAAACTACACTATTCACTTGGTCGAGAGTGGAGACATTGTGTGTATGTGATTGTATTCATCCATCTTGATAATGATACGTAACATTCAAGAAAAAGATCCATCTACTTTCGTTTTGGTTTTTGCTTTAAAAAGTTGGGTATGACTAGGATTCATGGGCAAAGTTAAAGAAAATTGCAAGATCTTCTACTGTCATCGTCATCATCATCACACCACTTGATCAATAGGTAGGGAACTATTTCCATCACAAGTGAAGGAGGGGAAAAAAAGCCTAATGGGGGAGGGCCCTTTGATATTTGATGTATTCTAGTTGAGCAAATTCTATCATTATTAACTTTTTTTGAGGTATTTATTTGATTTGTAAGATAACCTAAATAAAGACTTTGATTGGAAAATTTTAACCAATTTTTATGATGATTTCATTATTAATTTAATGCCCTTTACTATACACACAACCCCACATTGGAATTCTCTGTTGGGTCGGTTTTATTGAAGAAAGTGTTTCTTTTTTAGGTGAAACGAAAATTTAATAAGTATTGACCAAAACTGTCATAGCCTTTAACAGTTGGATTTCTATATATATATAGGTTTATCAAGAGATGAGATTTATGAAGCCAAGCAAAAAGCTACAATACTATTTACCATCAATTATTGGCATGGATTTATCTTTGCTCCAAATATTTTTACAGATATAATGAACGATCGAATGACTTGTCATTTTATATTTATTATAAATAAATGACAAATTATCGTGCCTATTAAAAAATTTTTATATCTGATTTTTAAATTTAATATGACACATATTCTTTAAAATATGTTAAAAAATAAAATGTGACAATCTTTAAATTTTGCTTATAAATAATATAAAAAAAATTGTTCATCATAAATATATAGAAAATAGAAGTTAGAAAAAGAATAGAGTTGGGTGGCCCAAAAAGTAATGTTTCGAGAGTATGAAATACTCCGAAGAGGTGGCCCGGCCCATTTTTGGAAACACAATATTAATCCGCAGCCAATCGGGTGGTTTTTTTTTTTTTTTTTCTTTTTTTGGGTACACAGTTATTTTTTTACTGTACAAGTCATACAGAAAGGTAGGTACAAAATATAAAAAATATATACTAATGATAAAAATAAATTTAGAAAAGTGTTTGTAAATTAACAAATTTGGACATATATGGGCTTTTTGGCCCATGGGCATTTGTATTGGACCAGGTCGGTTCAAAATTCTCCCCAATTTCTAAAACCCTGCGCAAAAACCACGAATGAAAATCCTTTCTTCTTCGTCCCAACCCTCCCCAAAACCCTTTCCTATCCCACAATGCTCTCTCGTCTCCTCCCCAAGCCTTCCCATTTGCGTCTATTACCCCTACTTTCCGCCAAATTCCAACCATATCCCTCCTTCCCTCAACCCCCTCCAGTTTCTCCCCTCCGTTTCCTCTCAACCAATCAAAACAACAACAATAACAAAGATCAATCATTTTCCGATTCGTGGAAATTTTCCCAAGAAAGTGACGGAAAAATCGGTAATGTCTTCTCCGATGAGTCTGGAAACACCGCCTCCGGTGAGGAAGACGGTGGTACTGGAAGGAAGAGTGGGGAAGAGGATTGGTTGGTTCGAGAGGAAGATAAAGCATGGAGCTTTGAGGAGGAAGAGGAAGATGATAGCGTGTTTACCTTAAAAGAAGGTGTACCAGAATTTGGTGAAACGGGAGGTGAATCTAGTATTGCCCTGAGTGGTGAAGCGGTTGAGGAGCAGGAGAAGCTTGAAGAAGAAGAGAAACAGCTCACTGCCGTACTCAAAGGCAAGTTTTTCTTTTTGTTTTAATTTTTAAAATCTGATAGCAATTTGTTGTTGTTATTATTGGTATTGTTTTTATAGGATTAAAAAATTAACATATTTAGGCTTATTTTGGCATTGCAATTGCAATTAAAACTTACATAGAAAAAGTTGCAAGTGGGAATTTGGGATAGGTAAAATATGCTTATTGAGAGCAAACTCATCCTTGTTGAAAATTTTTAAATAATTTAGTACTGCATTTGCAGCCAAATTATGCAATTTCGATGAAACATGAATCAAATTGCTATGCCCAATTGGGCTTTTGCCTAGTAGAATGAGGAGTAGGATGAGAACTGAAAAAAAAAAAAAAAAGGAGGAACAATTTTATAGATTTAGTGTCTTGGTGTTCTTGTTTGTGTATCAAGGAGATGGCTACCTTTTTTTTCCATAATTTATCTTTTGTGAGTTACGAGGAAGATTATACCATTTTGCAGGTCCCAATCGTGCATTTGGTGACCTTATTGCAGCATCTGGTATCACAGATGCGATGCTTGACAGTTTGATTGCACTAAAGGACTTGGAAGGGGTTGACGGATTGCCACCTTTAAGTGTTATAGAAGATATGCGTTATCAAAAGAATACAAGGAAATCCACAAGAGCTGAAATAGAACGTCAGAAGCTGGAGGAAATTGCCAAAGCAAGAGTAAGGCAAGTAGATGATAAAGGAAGAGCTTATGGGACTGGGAGAAGAAAATGTAGTATAGCCCGTGTTTGGGTTCAACCTGGTGATGGAAAATTTATTATAAATGACAAACAATTTGATGTCTATTTCCCAATGCTTGATCACCGTGCCACTCTTCTGCGGCCATTCTCAGAGACCAAGACCTTGGGCCTTTGGGATATCAACTGCACTGTTAAAGGTGGTGGTGTTTCTGGTAAGCTTATGGCCTAGGAGTTACATGTCCTTTCATTTAAACATTAAAACCAGTAACTCTACTAGCAATGTCTTACGCTTATCCTGTTTGACACTTGGGGTTCAACCTGTTCTCCCATTTTACTTCTATGCATCAATAATGTTAATATCAAGGAGACAATTAGAGAAAATTGCTCTGGTCATTAGATTCACTTCAGCATCCACTTATCATAAATCCTACGGTTAAAATCTGTTTATTGTGATTTGTGGGGTCTAAGTAAGAATTTGTGCATGGGTATTGAAATTCTCATCCAGTCATTCTAGTAATACTAAAAGCCTTCTACTTCCTATTGCTGCCTCGGATTTATCCTCCAAGAGAAAATATATTGTAAGGTATTGTTAAAGAAGAAATTGAAAGTAAGAAAAGAAAAGAAAAGAAAAAAAAAAAAGAAAGACAGAGAGAAGGATGTAGCCTACTTTATCAACAATAATGGAAAAGGTTTGGCCTATGGTAATAGAGCAGTCTTTAATATTCCACACTGATCAGGCATTCAACATGTTTGGCATAGAATCATTACAAGTGATTGAATTTTGTTATCAACATATTTGCTAGGTAGTGTTATCAAGCTTTTTTACTTGTTGGGACCAGCCACGAGGAAAGGTGATATGCAAAAAAAATTAGGTGCTTTATCAGGTTATCCTCTCAATTTGTATAGATAACAATAACATGTAGCGTGAGAAGTGTTAACTTGCTGAAAGTAAGTTGATTATTCTTTGCAAGTATAGGCTTAGTGAGGTTTGGCTAATAAACAAGCTTCAATGTTCCTCATTTTTTTTTTCAAGAATGCTTGCCCTACCTTCTTACATATTTGACCACTCTAAGACTACCTTTCCCTTCCAGTTGAAATTTGTAAAAAAAGTACCCTTCTCAGTTGTCATACACTATAATTTAACTTACTTGTATTATTGAGCTGATGAGGTTTGGACAGTTTGTTCAGTCTTCATAGTACATTTGAAAGGTTATGGAGTCCATTGGCTGTTGAATCTTATGTCACTGTACCACTGCTTGCCCTAAGATATCATCTGAAGCTGACAGAATTTGGTTACGATGATAGTGGTCCTTTTATGCGATAGTCTTTAGGAAAACTCATCTAATATACACCTTAATTACCTTAGCTTAATTGTATATTTAACACTCTAATGCCCTTTACCTTACTCGAAATGTAATTGTTTTAATATGTACAATGTTTGCATATGTTTGCATTATGGACTTTAGTTTTCTTCCTTATAAGTAAAGCTGATTATCTGCTCTGTGACAGGTCAAGTGGGAGCAATTCGGTTGGGAATCAGTAGGGCATTGCAAAACTTTGAGCCAGAGCTACGTCCTCCACTCAGAGCTGGTATTACCTCTTTTATGATTGTGCATGATTATATCTATGTTTATGTTTATATTTATACAATTATAATCCACTAGTCCATTTTTAGGGGGGTTGGCAAGTTCTTTTTATTCTTGATCTTGGTTGTTATATTTGAAGCTTATGATCGCATTACTAAAATGCTCCTGTGTCCTGGCAGCTGGTTTCTTGACAAGGGATCCACGTGTGGTGGAAAGGAAGAAACCAGGGAAGGCAAAAGCAAGGAAGAGCTTTCAATGGGTCAAGCGTTGATCAATTCATTGCCAGCCTGTTTTTCTTTGCTCAGTTGTTTCTCAAGGAGTTCTTTTTTAATTGGATGAAAAGGAAACCTTAATTTTGCCATGTTGCAACAATTTCTATCATTCATAATAAGGATTGGTGTTTGTTTTGTAATGTAGCTTGTAGTCTAGCTTTCCCAACTTGAGTAGCAGCAGAGATAAGAAGATTTTGTTGACCAAGAAATATGTTTGAGATATCGCCACCATAACATAGGAGGAATAGGCCCTTTCTATTGGTACGTCATGTTCTTCTATATGTACGCTATTATTTCAGATGTCATTCGCTGGGTTTTTCCAAAAATTTTCACCTATGCCAACAATTGGAAACTTCATTCTTTTCTTTTTTTTAAGTAATTTATTACTGTAATTTAAAAATACTTGTTCTATGAGATAAATTCGAAATTTTGAAAAATTTTGGAATGCTAGCATTTTGGAATTCATCAATGTAAAATAACATAAATTACATATATATTATTTGGATAATTATTTTTTAAAAAGGAATTTTAAATATTTGAATTTGACTAGATAAAAACATAATTATAATAGATTAATGATATTAGAGATAGAAAAATAAAAAAATGCTAAAAAAATATATATGGAATATGGGTGTTAGTAGATTTATTAAAATGTGTAGGTATTACTAACTATATGAAAAAATAAAAAAATGAATTTTAGGATGAGTTTTTTTAAGATAAAATTGAAAAAAAACCAAAGTTGCCTAAAAAGGTATCGAGTAATTTCACCCGAAGAGGTGGAATTTGAAAAGAGAAAGCTTTTCAAAATTCTTTATTCAAAATTTTAAAATTTTTTTCAATTCTAATTTTTATTTTATCAAATAAAATAATTTTATTTTAAAACTTTAAAAATGTCTTTACAAATTAAATTCTTCCTTGAAACCTCTCGTCAAAACATACCGTTTCAAATATATATGAAGCAGACCAACATAGAATACAATTTGATTAAAATTAATAGTAATTATTTTATCTAAGAGAGTTTTTAAGATTTTATAAGTGAGGTTAGTAAGGTAATCCATATTATTTAAGATATATTAAAAATAAAAAACTTAATTAAAATTTTGAGATATGTGTAAATTTTTTAACTTTATTTGTAATTAAAAAATTAAAAAATAAAACGCAAACTTTAAAATTAATTATTGAATATTTGAGCCCAATTTGAGTTGATTATCAATACTCCATAAAATCTCACCCTACTGAACTTGAAAATAAAATTTAAAAATTATTTTTATAATTATATTTTTATACTTCATATTATATTAATCAAAATTATATCAATCAATTAAGAATAAAGTTGTTATTTAACGATTTTTTTTGGAATTCTAATAAAGTAAGGAATTGATTATAAAAAAAATTAAAACTATGATTAATTATCATTGAATTTCAATGAGGTGATATTTAAGCATTTTAATCTTTTATCTAAACTACCTTATAAAGTTGTCTCCAACTCATTTCCATGCAACAGCTATCTATTTTAAGACATAAAAAAAATTTTCATTTTATTAATGATATTATTGGATTTTCATCGTAAAACAAAAAAATTATAAAAGGTTACAAAAGATTCCAAAAAAAAAAGCCAAATGAAAAAGAACAAATAAAAAAAAATCCAAAAATCATGAAAAGAGAAGAAAAAAGAACGAAAGAGAAAAGAGCATGGAAAGAAAGGAGGAAGAGTCTAATTTGACCTTTATCATCAATTCAGCCTTCATTAGTGGTGGGTCACAAAGAGATAAAAAAATCGAGGAAGATTAAAGAAAGAAAACGTTAAGCCGTGTATGAAAGTTGTCTATCGAACAATTGGTGGCTACATCAAGTTGCTAAAGCAAGGTAATAGAAGATATTGAGTCACAAATTACCATCGTCATGTGCCTTCCAGTTTGCAGTTCAACGAAGAAGCCAAGTACCCATTCGTTCTCTCTTTTTCTTTGGTAGTTTTTTTAGTAGACTCCATAACTAGGTTTTCAATTTTAAATTCGTAAGTTTATGAAATTTCCGTTACAAAATCAAATTCTATAGATTTATAATGTTTTATGAGAGTATTTGAGGGTTTTATTCGAAATATTTAAAAGAATACAAATATTTAATATACTATCAGAATTGTTATTTAGTTTTAAACATAATTTACTTGATAATTTTGTTTAATTTGTTTTTTTTTTTTTTAAGTTTGTTGATATTCAAAGAAGTTTAGAGGTTCTTAGTAGAGATTTCATTGGATGTTTACAAGATATTTCTCAAGCAATGCCAACTAAAGGTACCCTTTTTGTTTTACATTAAAATTTTTCTCTACTACTTTTTACTTTCATGATAAGATGTTTTTTTTATTAATGTTTTATGTAAATTTTGAATCTTTCTTTTGCTACTTACTAACTTTTGATTTTTTGTTTTTGCATTCAACCCTAGTATAATTGTACAATTGTTGAGCTATTTTTGACTCTATGATTATCATCTGTTTATTTTTAAAGATGTGATTGTTATCTAATTATTTTTAAGAATGCCTAACTATTGATTTAGCCTTTTTTTATTTTATTTTCCTAAAATCACTTATGTATCTCTTGGATTTCTTAGGTAATTGTGTATATTACTTATGGAAGTCTGACAATACCTTGCCATAATATTTGTTTTGTTAACTTTGTTCTACTCATATTTCTACGGTTCCTTTATTACTTCCATAATTCACTAAATTGATTTTTGAAAACAAAGAATAGGCTAGGCTTCTTAATTCACTAAATGTTTTATGGCTAGAGCTACTGTTACAATTGCCATCCAACAGCTTAAAGCTTTTTTGGCATAAAAACATTTACAAAAGAAACCATATATTATTTTTGTAATTCATTATGTATAGGGCAATGCCCTTAAAGTAATTAGCCTTCCATTTTAACTTTTTCAAAAAAGAAAAAAAGCATATTGATTCTCTCATTTTGAAAAAGAGTCCTAACCTATGTTCTAAAGAATTTCCAACCAGTATCAATGTCATTACCCACTACATTTTAGTTACTAAATTTATATAATATTACTTTGCACTGGAATTGGTTGACTATTATAATTGGAGTTAGCTTTTTATTCTTTCTTATATTTTTTTAAGTACATTGTAAGGGTCTTCAGGTTTTATTTCTGTTTATGGATTAGAAAAAACATACAAGTATTTGCTAACTTTTACAGACTTTGAGAAATAAGGAAAAAGAACAACAATTTTTTTTTAGGTTATTGCAATAGCTCCACTGATATATGTTGTTCGTTGCAACTTTTTTATTTATATAACACATTCAAAAAAGAAAGGAATTCAAATTGTAAATTTTTTTTTTATTTTTAATAATTTTTGGTGCAATTTTATAATTTAATAGCTTATAGTAGTGGCAAAATTTGTAATAGTTTTGGTATTGAGCAATGATAGTGACATTGTTATGTACTTTTATCTATACAAATGAAAAACATTGAAAAAAGAATCATGCTTTCATACATGAATCAAATTTATTTTAGTAGAGAATATCTTCTTCAAGGTTTGAGGATTGGTGTCATGGCTGGTATGATAAGATTGCCAGTAAACTATTTTGTTTGTTTTCTATCCATCTTGACTGACCAAGAAATTTAATTATGATATTGCATCTATCTAAACTTTTCATGTTTCCATTTTTTTCTTCTTGGGTAGGTTAATTTAATAGGAAGTTAAAATCAATGTGAGAACTTTTGCTTTAATGAAAGACTATCAATTAGATCCAAACAAAGAAATGGTGGCATTAGGAATGATGAATGTTGTTGGTTCAGTAACTTTTTGCTATGTGATTATAGGTGAGAAATGAGAACATCACTAATTTATTATATGATTTAGTTTTATTTGGATTAACTTGTTATTAATTGTTATAGATTCAATTATCATATGTATATATACGGCAAATGCTTTTAACTAAGTTTCAAGTTTATCAAAACATGGATTTTTGAAGTATATGTATTCATTGATTAAAAACTCTTTTACTTGAAATCAAGTATAAGATTTTTTTTATAATTTTTAAATTTATTTAAAAATTTTGAGTTATTTATAATTTATAACAATCCTTTTCAAAGTTTAACAAGTTAATACATATCGAATTTGATAAATTCATTATCAATACTCTAGATCATAATATTTTTATAAAAAAATAAAAAACTCTTTTCCTGCAATGTGTGTATGTGTATGTGTATATATATATATATATATATGCGAGACTAAAAACTTTCTTAGGCGATGTGGTTCCCTTTTCAACAAGTCGTTTTATCCCCCTTATTTCTCAAAAAAGGATCATTAGGTGTAGTTGAACAAATCAACCTGCTTCAACAATTAAAAACCAATTCCTTAAAAAAAAATTAAAGGAAAAAGAAAACGAGATTAGTAGAATTTTGTTCCTTGAATTGTAAAAAGTAAAAATGTTGAATTGTCCTAAGATTTTTTCTTTTCTCTTTTGTAGACACCTTAATTGGTCGAGGCTCAAACCCATTGGGCTTGGCTCAATAGAGTCCAATCTATAAGCCCAATCATTCATTATTTTATGATTTATTGATTATTATTATTTATTATTATTTTGGTTGATTATTCATTTATTTGTTTTTTTTTGTTTATCTTTGATTTTTTTTGTTTGATTTATCTTTGATTTTTTTGTATTATCAAATTAGATGTTAAGATAATAATAAGGTAACAGTGATAATAAATAATAAAAAAAATAATGCAAATTTTACTGTGAATGAGTATTGACAGAATTGTAATTGGTTTTAATTTTTATAGGATAAATTTTATATGATAATACAAAAATCTGGTCAAGGGGAGACTTGGTTGATTAAAAACTCTTCTGATTATTCCCTATAAATACACACTAATTAGAGACAGAAAACACACAGATCAAAAAAGTAAAAAGGGAAAATACACACAAAAAGATAGAAAAAATATACGAAAAAAGCAAAAAGATCAACAAAAATAGAGAAGAATTTTGATTTTTTTTGGGGAAAATTTTTTGAAAATTTTTAGATTTAAATGAATTTTTCCAGTTTTCGATGAATTTTTCGATGTCGTTTAAATTTTTTGGCAAGTTTTTCAGAATCTAGTGGAAGATTTCGACGAAGATTGAATTTTTCGGTGATTTTTCGATGAACCAACCCAGATTTCGATATAAATTTTTAGAATCTGATAAAGATTCAACTAGAGTTCTTAGAGTGGTAGAGAGAGAAGGAAAGGGGAATTTGTAAAAAAAAAAAAAATTCGATCTTTTATATTATTGTTAAACGACGTCGTTTTAGGCGTTTAAGAAACCCAAAATCCGCAAGTTTTTTAGTGGGTGACCCAACTTATAGTGCTCGACCTATTTTTGACCTGCGTCCTGTCCTTAGCTTCAGCCAAGTCGAGCCATGAGCCATGCCATTCCAACCGCTTCCCCTGCCTGCAACTAAGTCGAGCTATTTTTTTATTTTGATATTTAAAAAAAAATTTATTTTATTTATATTTTAAGTATTTTTGTATGATTAAATTTTGAGAAAAAAAATAAAATAAAATATTTAAGAATAAATAATAATTATCTAATGATGAAATTTTTAAAATTTTCAAATAGTAAATTTCTATAAAATTTTTAAGTGAGAAATTTTTTCTAAATTTGTCCCAAATAGTGAAATAATTTAGATAAAATTTTAAAAATAATAATTAATAATTATTTTTAATTAAAAATAATAATAATAAAAATAAAATTTAATAAAATTTTGGTTGAAAATATTTAATAATTATCCAAAAATGAGAATCTTAAAAATTTTAAATGGTAAATTTTTAAAAAATCTCTAAGTGAGAAATTTTTTTAAATTTATCTCAAATGGTGGAGGAATTTAAATGAAACTTCAAAAAAATAATTGTCATATTATTTAATTTCCAAAAATAAAAAACAAAAAAAAATTTATAAATAGACCAAAATAGTGAAAAATTTAGAAATAAAAAAAATTTTAAATTGACCCAAACGATGAAAAATTTAAAAATAAAAATAAAAAATAAATTATGATGATAAAATTCTTAGTAATCGTAAATGGTTGATTATCTAATAAATTTCCAAAAAAAAAATATTTTTAATTTAATCCAAATAGTGAAATAATTATATATATTTTTAATAAAAAGAAACCAAAATAAAAAATGATTAAAATTTTTGTCAATAACGAAACCTCTTTAAAAAAATAAATGAGATTTTTAAAAATTCTTAAGGTGAGGACATAATTCTTAAAAAATCTACGAGATTGATAGAGAAACTTAAAAATTATTTTCAATATTCAACATTAAAAGTTAAAATCATTAGAATCAAAATCTTAGAATAATTTAAAATAAAATGATACTATTCTTTGTATGAACATGTGAAGATACTATAACATTTTTTATATGTAATTGAATTTTTGAATCTAGTAGATTAGAGCATATTTTTTTAGAGACACTTAAGAGCTCTTTAAAAATTTAATTATAGATTTACAAATTTATATATTATAACATCTCTTAGATTCTGCTAATTAGTTTATCCAATTATGCTAACCAGTCTCTTGGATTTGATTTTCCTTTTCAACCTTTTTTTATCAATTTAATTTTAAAAACCCTAATTTCATCAATTCATGTACAATTCGCCCCCTATCAATCTTTCAAGTTTAGAAAATTATGATATATATTTTTTCTTTTGCAGAGCCGTGGATATGAAAGAAAAGAACACAAGCTCTCCACTTAGGCGCGTTTTAGTTAATTGTACAGCACAGGTTTGTAATATTCCATTTAATTTTTGGACCTTTTTTTTTTATTAGAATTATATAATAAGTTTGTGTATGAGTAATTGAGGTTGAAAATAAACAAAAATGTGATTGCAGAAAGATGTTTCCTTTAACCTGCTTTTAAATTCTGCTTGCACTTGGCTTACTGTTTCGACTAAAATGTTGTCTTTGCAGGCTAAACAATGTGGGGCCTGTGTTGCAGCTAAAGTTCGGGAAGTTGAACGCGATATGTGTTTTAAAGAATTTCTTGCACTAAAGACTTGCATGCAGAATACGGTATCCATATTCTGGGATTGCTTAGGAGCATATTGTTAACCATTAAAAGAAAGAAATATATTGTATTGCATAATTGGGTTGCAAATATTTTAGCCTTTTTCTTCTTGAAAAAACTGCGCTAACACTGACATTCTCTAGTTTTTTTATTTACAGCTCCGGGGAAAGGCTTAATATTTGGAGCCTTGTAGGAAGTTGTTAGAAATTTGTATAAGGTAAATCCAATGAACTTTTCCTTTTGTTCTTTGATTCTAGTCTTTAAGCTCTGGTACATTCTTGCTATTGTACTCATACTTTCTTTTGTGCTTTAGTAGTGTTATTATTCTCCAGCAATTTGAGTTTTGTGGTTAAAAAACTCAATTTGACCTTAGGAAAATGGCCGGGAAAGCATCAAGTTTGCAAGCCGGTGTTGGTGGTTTACGATCTGGTGCTTTGTCACATGTTTTCATACAATATACCCTACTACGTTGTAACATTCCTGGATCAAGAGGTTTCTATTATGATGATGGAAATAAGTTGCTCATCTGTCCTACGTCTGATCAGGTTTTATATTCTGAAGTTAAAGTAGTGTGCTTGAATTTTTTTTTTTTTAATCTTAGCAGTTCCATATTTTACACTTGTTCATTTGCCTTTCTACACAGGTCTTTTCCTGGAAAAAGCTTCATTTTCTCCTCTTGCTGCCCCTATCACTGATTCAATACGCGAAGGGCCTATATGCTCCATCCCATTTTCTCTCGATGAAAAGCTTATAGCAGTCCAGCGTTCCAACATTTTGATGCAATTTTGGCATAGAGAAACAGGGGAAACTTTCACTCATAGGTGCAAGGCCGAGTCAGAGAGTATACTTGGATTTTTCTGGACAGATCCGTCATGTGATATTGTAGTTGTAAAGACCAGGTAGGGGGAAGCTTCCTGCCTTTTTTTTTTCTTTTTGTATATCGGATAATGATTTTGTTGTTCAGAATATCTTAAACCTTGATATTTTATGTAAGAACTTACCTTCAATCGGGATATGATATTTTTGTCAAGGAATAGAATTTCATATAATAGCAATGTTATTCTGCAGCTGAATGCGTACTTCACTTTCATTTGGATGCCTAACATATAAAATTTTCATGCTTATAATATTTACAAGAAATTTTGATTAGCCTACTGATTTGCTAATTGCTTTTTTCCTTTTTCTACAAATGGAACACTACAGCTTAAACTTTAGTATCTCTATCCAAATCCCACCCCACCCTTTACACTCTAACTAAGCTCGAGTGGGGAATTTGGAGTTACCTAATATTTAGCATGCATCAAAAAGACATTATTATCACCTAGTACACATCAGTTTATCCTACCTTAATTCCTATTGTTGTAATGGTTAGACTTTTTCAGGCCATACAACTAGTTGAAGAAGTTTTAGAACTTTTGTCTCTGTCATGGCATTGTGCGTTTTCTTTTGCTATTGATGCATGGAACTTTGCTGTCTTTGCTGTATGACCAAAGATAGAAGTAATAAATATGAAAAGAGAGGGGAAAACCATTATCATTTTGGGAAGTATTCGCTTTTAGACATTCTATATCAGTTCCTCCATAAAAGAGAAAGTATGTAACTTATTTTTGGGGAGATACTGCTCTAGCATGGATCCAGATTAAGCTGCAGTTCCCAAGGCCAGAATCAACAATCTTCCTTATATTTTATACTGTTAAATTTAATTTAGCAACTTAAATGGATTGTACATCCAACATCAACAAGTCAACCTCAAAAGATTTTCAATCATTGTTATCCTTGTTATTGAGTAATAATCATCCACCGTTTTGAGTTATGTTATATAGACTTATTTCTATTTTTCATTTTCGTGTATGTTAACACCAAAGATTTAATGTGCTCAATTCACTGAAATGGAATTTAATCTCAGTGGATTGGACTTGTTTGCCTATGATTATGCCGCAAAGTCACTTAACTTGGTGGAGACAAGGAAATTGAATGTTGGTTGGTATGTCTACATGCATGAGAGCAGATTGGTTCTTCTTGCTTCAGGAATGTGGTGCAAGACATTCAATGGATTTCAGGTATGACTACGAACTTCGCTGTTTGCTCAATTTTCTAGAAATCCTCTTAGATTTAGTCTCTACTTTGGCTGGGCTATGTTTGCTTTATGAAAGAAAATAAACTTAGAAATCAGTCTTGGAGGTAAATGCGAGAAATTGGTCTGAAAACTGAAAATTTTCATCTACTGAAGTGGAAATGAATATTTAGCATTAAAGTGAATGATGACTCCCTTCTGAAAAGGTTCCTGTTATTGTGGTTCCTTTAGCCTTTAATGGACAGTGCAGATAGATTGTGATCCTTTTTGTCCTCAATTTCATTAATATGACAAGTTGCTATCTTGTATGTTCAGCTTTCATCTGCTGGGATTATTCGATTACCGAAGTTTGAGATGGTAATGGCTAAATCTGAAGCTAACAGTAAGCCTGTCCTTGCTTCTGAAGATGTCTATATTGTCACTGTGTATGTTTCTTTTATCTTTTTTTTTCTAGTACACAAAATTGTTTGCTAAATTATTTATATATTAATATCTGCTTTTTATACTTTGACAGCTATGGGAGAATATACTGCTTGCAGGTTGATAGAGTTGCAATGGTACTGCATTTGTATCAGTTTTACCGCGATGGTATTATCCAACAGGTTAAGTGTTACTCAAAACTCCCTCTAGTTCATTTCAGGTGAAGGCTTTATTCAGTTGGTTTTGTGTTGGAATCCTAACCATCTTCATTCCATTTGCAGGGTTCATTACCGATTTATTCAAGCAAGGTTGCCGTGAGTGTGGTTGATAATGTGCTACTTGTGCACCAAGTAGATGCAAAGGTTGTTATACTCTATGACATATTTGCTGATTCTCGAGCTCCCATATCTGCTCCACTGCCTCTACTGTTGAGGGGTTTTCCAAGGTCCAATATTTCTACTTTTTGACCTAGCAGCAAAGAAAGTGAAAGTTCAGAGGCTCCTAATACAAATGATCATGAAGCAATTATTTATGGAGATGGCTGGATCTTTTTGGTTCCTGACCTTATTTGTGATGTTGCTAATAAGGTTTTATGGAAGATCCACTTAGACTTGGAGGCAAGTCTTGTTGGTCATGCTTTATTATTTTTAATGGCTAATACTTGTAATGACTGCCCCCTTTTTCTCCTTGGGGGCAATTTCCACTAGTAGCTCAGAACTTCCATCAGTATTGGAATTCTTGCAAAGACGAAAGTTGGAGGCCAATAAGGTCAATTCTCTGCTAACTCTCTGTCTCCTTCCACAATGAAAGGCAATATAATCATTAACCAGTGTTAAGTATATATTTTTCCAGCTATTTCAGGTTAAACAACTATGTTTGGCAATTACACAAGCAGTGATTCTAGAACACAGACCTGTCACCACGGTTGCCAAGGCAATGGATGTATTAGTCACCTCATATTCCCACTCTCTTAAAACTGGCAGTTATTTCAAGGGAACAAAGAATGATAGGACTCCCTCAAGTGTGCCAAATGTGAGTGGCCCCGGGCAAGGCATAGATGTAATCAGGAGCAGAACAGATGGACGTGGAAAATCCATCTAGCACGAATCTTATTCGAGAGTCAAAAGTGTATCTGTCAGTAGGCGTTCAACTTATTTGTTTTCAGAAACTGAGGATAATTCCTGCTCTGAACCACTGAAAATCAGCTCAAATGATGCTCAATTTGTTGCTGGCAAAGTGGATATAGGTGCTGAAAGTTGTACCACTGAAGCTCAGCCATCATCTTTTCTGTTTCAACTTCCAGGTCCTAGTAATAATCCGTTAAATGCTAGTGTTTCTGAGCAGCAGGAATCTCAACTCACTTCACCTGCAATTTCACCTGATGAGATGTACAAATTTGTCTTTGCTCCTATTGAGGAAGAGATGGTTGGGGAGCCTTCTTATCTGGTTGCCATCATTCTTGAGTTTTTTCAAAGGTATGCTAATAATTTGAAGTGGTTTAGGACCATGTTGCATAACAATTCTAAAGGATTCTTAAAATGGGTTTGAATCTTATAAAGAACTACTATAGCCATATTCTGGATAAACACACAAGGCTCCCTTTTGTGGATAAACTTACTGCTTAATCATGTTTTCTTAGCCATTTATTTGGTAAAAATAAACATAAGTTACTCATATAAATCATTTCTTGGTTATTGCGACGACGTCCTTGGCCTGCCCTTCAACCGAGGAGCAGCAAAATTTATGCGGCCTTATCCAAGTCTTTAGAAGTAAATAATATATTTATCAAATAAACTCTAACAAAACATAGCTAACATTCCAATTTTAGATAAGTTATAATGATGTTTTGGAAACAAAAAAAAGGAAAAGAAAAAAATATATTTTGGTATAATTGTGTCAGGAGCAGATAGAAGAAAAATAAACTGCGTGATATAGCAAATATACCAACCAAGCTAAACCACCTTGCTTATTGGTCAACTGAAAGAGCAAATAGTAACTGATAGAAATAGAATGCATGGTTATGGTACTTCTCTTTTGGGAATGGAAGGGTGAGTTTGGTTTGTACTTTAATCCATAAAATGTTATTCGTTTCCTCTGTGCAGTGCCAACTTGGAAAAGGTCAAAGTGCTTCCAAATCTATATGTGTTAACCATTCAACTATTAGCACGCAGCGAGCGATATGCAAAACTTGGTTTGTTCATCATAAACAAGGTTTTCAAGTCTCTTTTACCTTCACAACAATTGTTCCTTGCAAAAGAATGAAAAGTTAATCCATATGTTTTTGGCTGGACTGATGTTTCAACTTTGTTTTTAATTAAGAGTTTAAATTCTTCTGTTACAGATTATTGAGCCGTCAAAACAAGTTGCTGTACAGCCGCTAGAGTTGGGTCGTCAAAATTTTCAAATTAGGAAGCTGGGGTCAGATATGCTAAGACAGCTCGCTTTACATCATGATTATGTGTTGCTACTTGTGCAAGATGGATATTATCTTGAAGCTTTATGTTATGCAGGGAAGCATAAGGTAATCCTTTATTAGATAATTGCATTCGAAAATAAATTAGTGTGTTATTATTTATGTAAAATGCCAGTTTATGAATCAGGAACTGGATGCACAATATTTCTTCATCCAGACACGGTTATTAAAGTTTTCAGAGATCTGTGGGCTTCATGAAATGGACAAACAACCTTATATCATTTCAGCAAAATGTTGTTAGATTTGCTTTATCTTCATTGGTTTTTGTTTTCAGATTATCCAAGCATAATTATACATTTCTGAAAATTAGGTTGTTTCCTATTTCTTTACTTGTTTGAAATTTCTGGCAAGAGATAGGTATTTGATGGCATTTCACCAAATGCTGGATGATCGT